TTCGGGGGCATCCACCTACTTACCTTGCCAGACAGTCCGTTACCATGCTATCCTTCTTTGCCCTCTGAAAATATGCTGCTGCTGCCGATCGATGCCCGTCTATAACTGGGTGCCCGTCTGCAGCCCTACAGCACTACTGCTTTGTTAGCACGTCGACGCGCCTCATCGCAGCACCGAAGTCTAAACGCTGTTTTACCCAAGAATCGCGACGAGGCGGCAAAAGAAGCGTAACAAGTGGGATGTGCTCAGCACCCCCAGCGGGATCCAATCCACTCAACGTGGCAGCGCCTTTTGTGTCGACAATCTATAAGTGTGTCTCTCTTATGTCAAATAGCCAGAAACGCATGCGATGACGAGACTAGGATGTGGCGTTATACCCCCCCCCCCTCCATTGCTTTTCTAGGTTTTAGTTGAATTGGATTGGTCAGCATCCCAACGTTCTTACACATCATAAAGTCGAGTAAAAGTTTTGAGCTCCATTCAAGTTTCCAAAGCTCAACATCAAACATTTCAAGATCCCATCGATGAACACGCCGAGTCCGTGCCACCGTAAGCTTTCCATGCCACAAATGGACACATCCATCGGATCTCCACCGTTTGAAGCGCCTCCACAACTGCAGAAAGCTACAATGGATCAAAACCCTGTCCCGTGAGTTTCTCTTGTTTGAGGTATTCTGACCTCGAGTTGTGTCAAACTGTCATGCCGCCGTTCTTTGTCTGCGGGTGACAATGAGTTATGAACTTACGTAGCAAGTTGGACAAATTATTGGCCATAACCTTCTTTCAGCTTTTATTTCGTAGGGTGAAGGTGGTGTGAAGAATTACAGCGCGAATTAGCAGCAATAAGTGCTGCGAATAAGTTGTACTGAGATCCAATTCTTTTTGGAGGGATGGGGCGTATTGACACTGCCATTTCCTCCATCCCGATGATGTGTCCTGAGTATCATCCTCCTCTCGCTTACCGGTCTTAAAGTCTAGAAGAGCTCCTTCTTTTCAGATGTTCTCTTTATTTTGAAGATGAAATGGCTTAGGCAGCATTCACACGTCGCGATAGTGGCGATTTGATGGACTCGTGTTTGGGAGGATTCATGCGAGTGCCATGGCTCCTTCACGCGATTGCGCGCTTGGCGACAAAATTGCTGCCAACTTTACTTGCGCACGGTTGAAAGGTGAAGTTCCCGATCAGTTCCGGTCAGGACCAGCCGTGCCTTCCTCCACTCTCGGACTGTAAACTGGAACAAAACTTGTCTGGGAGGATACGAATACTGACTCGTACAGTCACTGGCCTCCACAAGTCGTTGTTTGGGCTTTCGCAGTTCCTTTATTCCACTACCATTCCAGATCGAATTATGGTGAGTGGCGTACTCTTACAAAAATAGATCATCGCTAAAACGTCGTAATAATAATAACTCCCTTGTCCTGTTATTTCTTCGGTCGGACCTTAGAGGTGGGATTGGACCAAGACTGAAGAAACCGTGGCCTAGATAAGCCTAAAAAGAACGCTGTAAATTGGAACGGACTCACATCTTCTAGACTGTGGAGAGTTTTTAGTTTTTTTTTTTCCGACGAAATGTAGAAGTCGGAGGAAAAACAAGCGCCGGGCTATCCACCTTTTTGGAATATTCATGTCTCAGAAGAAAAGAAGTTTATACTCCGTAGGAATGCTGAAGATGAACGACAAGCGAAATGCAGACGTTTTCGTTGAGCAGCACAATCACTTCAGACAGATGCAGCGGTCAGAGGAACCGCTAACCCTGCTGAGTTCCCTGATTCCCTGCAAAATCGGATCTCAGATCTAATATCTTGAGGCAATGGCACGTTATCGTCGGAACCCCCCCCCCCCCCGATAAGCCATCCATCGCAAGCCCCTGATACCCGCGTAACAGCGAACTTACGCTTGACTGAAGTTGCTGAATTAATCCGAAAGAATAAATAGGAAAATTGGAAAAGTTCCTATCACTTTGATCACTTGTTTTGCGAAAACATTCCCTCCATTCTAGGAGTATGACCTGCTAATAGTAGCTTTATTCCTGCCAACTGCAAGGACCTTGACCATACTGTCCTCATCATTACGGACTGTCGGGGCGTGTCAGCCAGTAGGAGTGCGCACACTGTTGAAGCCGTTCTCAGCCTTTTTGTTGAAACGCGTATGCGACAAAAAGTGGTAGAAAACGAGTAATACGAAGGATATAATACAGTAATGTCACTTGCTCGCTCAACAATTGGTGCAGAACGACTTCGGTACCGCGCCAAACGCAGCCGCACTGACACGCCCCGACAGTCCGTAATGATGAGGATTGTAGCTGTCCAGGCTTTTAGTTGGCATAGAATTTCATGCAGGATATCTTTTATTCTTTTCTTTATTCAGTACGTTGTGTAAGGCAACGTCAGAAAGAAAAAGAAAACACGAAACCGTAACGAACCAACGAAACAAATCACATCCCAAAAAGGAAACATGCAGCAAGAAAAACAAAAAAGTGACAATCATGTGACAAGCAGTTGTCTAGCTAGCGACTTTCTAAAAGATGCCAAAGAGCCTTGGATGGATGCGGTTTTGTCAAGGCGCAAGTAAGCAAGTCCTGCTCTAACAGTGAAGAAATTTCGTCTGAGAGAAGTTTTAGGTCTGGAAAACGACAGCTTTTGCTGAGCACCTCTAGTAATAGACGGAAGGAGGGTGTAGAAAGAGGAGCAATTCATGGCGGACTCCTTTCTTAGAAGCCTATATAGCACACATAAATCAAAGAGTTTACGTCGAGATTGGAGGGTTGGAAGTTCGAAGTATTTATTCCTTACTGATGCTTTTGGAATCTTAGCATACAGAAAACCTCCGCGACGGATAAGTATTTTCCTTGTAAAATTGTTTTGAACCTTTTCAACGAGAGCAACATCCTTTTTCTTGTGAGGGCAGAATACGACAGTCCCGTTTTCCACCAACGGTCGAACATAAGTTTTATATGCGTGGAGAAGTACCTTGCTGTCATTGGTTGCCAGGGCCTTGAATATAATATAGGTACGATGGAATGCCTTCTTATAAATAAGCTGGTGATGTGCCGAAAAATCAAGTTTGTCACTGTAAAGAAAATCCTAGGTCCTTGATTTCTTTAACCTTACTAATCTCCACATTATCAATGTAATAAGAGGTGGAGTATTCCGAAGGAGGGCCTAGGTGCATGTGAAAAGATTTTGCCCCGGACAGTGGAATTTGCCAGTCATTGGACCATTTGACAAGCTTATCTATAGTAGCTTGCAGGGCATATGCATCTTCTAAGGAGTTTATTGTTTTGTAAAACTTAAGGTCATCTGCATATTGCTTAGACACAACTTCATTTTGTACGCCTATATGACCAAGATCAGCCGAGTAGATTTAAAAGGTATATAGGAGATAGAACCCCACCTTGAGGGATGCCGCTGAGGAAAGGAAAGATATCAGAGTAGGATTTGTTTATACGAACCTGGAAAGTCCTTCCAGTAAGAAATTCTCCAATCCATTTGTATACTTTCTCATGGAATCCTAGAGCTTACTTATTTTGTGCAACAGCTTCCTATGGCTAACCTTTGTCAAACGCTTTGGTGAAATCGAAATAAATTACATCGAGGCACTTCTTATCATCCAAAGCCGCTGTCCAGTCATTGAGGGATTCTAGCAAATTGGTGGTAACGGACTTCCCTGCTACGAACCCATGCTGAGAAGATGGGATTATTTTGTTCTCTTCAAGATGGCGAATAATATGATTTTTAAGAAGCTTCTCAAAAATTCTACAAAAGAGAGATGTGATACTCACTGGCCTATAATTGGAAATGTCCGAGGAAGGTGACTTTTTTAAAATAGGAGTGATATATGAATGCTTCCATAGTCGTGGGACTTGAGAAAACATGATTGACTGGTTAAATATGTAAGACAGGGGGAAGGCGATAGCATGAGCAATGTTTCTGACAAACATGAAAGGAATATGGTCCGGAGTGATAGAGTGTGAGCATGGCCACCTCATCAAAAGACTGTAGACATCGCTTGGGTCGAAATAGGGGAAGGTTTGCATTGAGCTTTGAAATAGTGTGAGAGTACGGTGGAAGACAGTTGTCATCTTGTTGGAAGGTTTTGCTAAATTCATTTGCGAAAGCATTTGCCTTGTCCTTGTCATTCAGTAGTAAATTACCCTCATATTTCAAATCCGTAAACTGTGTCTTCTTGCGGAGTCTAGACCTCATGAAGTTGTAAAAGCGTTGGGTGCTCTTAGACTGAATGATATTCTTTTCGACGTTTTTATTATATTTGAGCAGCCTCTCAGTAAACTTCTTAGAGAATGTGTTGTACTCATTCCAGTCACCGGTAAGCTTGGCATACCGTAAGAGACATTCTTTATGATCTAACATGTTCTGAAGGTAGGGAGGCAAATTCGGCTTGCTTGGATATACATAAACCCAAGGAACGAAAGTGTCCATAGAATGATTGAGGATAGAGAGAAAGCATAGATATGAAGGCTGTCAAGCTGTTTTTCTGTCGAGGCCTTTACGAACATACTCTAAACGTGTTCTTCTGATTATTCCAAAAGGAATTGATAGGATACTGCTTAGTGGGTAATGAGAAAACAGGAGGCCACTCTGCTGCATGCTCCCAATATGCTAGTTTGTTTGGGTAAGAGATCAGTCAATGTGGCACCGATCTGTGGTCGACTGAGTCTTAATCGTCGCAACCATATTTTTCACCGCCTCGAAAAAGTAACTTCCGCATGCAAAATTTTTGAAATTTTATTACGCTATAAATCGCTCAGCAGTTTGCTTTTATAGTTCTCGACAGAGGAACGTGAACGTCGTTACTCCGCCTTATTATGGAAAAGTTTCATCTGGATAGTGTAATGGAATCCGCGTTTGTGGGGTGTCACTGGAGAGGATCTGGACTAGCCTCTCCAGGAAAGAGCATTTCGATACTTTTTTATTATGATGGCTGCAATTTCCGCTCCAAAAGTGAACTTCCTCAGCATTCTAGAACTGAGCTCCCCAAAAACAAATTCCACTTTGAGCGGAGCCGCGCCTAACACAGTGTTTTGTCTCATTGCTGTGCCCATCCTCCTTTACTGCCAGGGGGGGGTGTCCTTCCAAAGAGAAGATGCAGCTGTAGACCTTGGCTTTGTCCTTACGACAGGCGTGGATTCTGGCCTTGAAATTTTTGTCGCGGCAAGGCGATGCAGTATGAGCGCAGTTTTGCAAGATTTCGACGACGGTATTGCTATGCTATCATATTCTGGATCTCAGTGAATTTAAGTATGGCCTGCCCACAATGACACACAGGGCCAACATATCTTCTTATAAGAGTCTTTCTCCTTCCAAATCAGGGCACGCCCTGCCGTTAGGGAAGTTTTTCGCAGAATTCGACATCTCTTCCCTCAGAATGTGCTCGTCATGTGCGACCTTCCCTTCCCCATGTCTACCCCACCTACCATCTTCCCAAATTTTAGTTTTGTCTTAAAACGCCTCCAGTTTTTTTTCCGAAAAAAAATACCGTCAAGCGGAGCCGTCGAACTTCGTCGGGGAGAAACTCAACAATCGAAAAGATCCTTCAACGGCAAATACAAGCCCCTTACTGAAGCGACCCATTACCTTCCTTTAGAATCTCCAGAGTACGACGTGCCTTGTTCCTGAAAAGTGCTGGACTAGTTACCCAGTCCCCAAGATGATTGGTGGTGCATGGCGCTGAATCAAGCTAGGTTCCTCTCTAGTTACGTTTTTTTTTCTTAATGTAAAATATACAATCAAGTTTACACAATGCTGAATCTTATATAGTGCAGTTCGCTGCGGACGGTTGGGCGTGTCAGGCGGGATGAGTTTGGCGCGGTGCCAAACCCGTTCTCCACCAGTTGTTAAAGCGAGCAAATGATATGACTGTATCATATCGTTCGTATTACTCGTTTTCTACCACTTTTTGTCGCATGCGCGCTTCAACAAGAAGGCAGAGAACGGCTTTGACGGGTGACACACTTATACTGCCTGACACGCCCAACCGTCCGCAGCGAATACACTATATATGACTGTTATTTGGTGTGATTATACATATGTCCACCTACATATGCTGTCTAGAAAGGCCTTAGAGCAGTTGAGCCTAACATGAAGCCATAGCTCTACTGCCTGCGGGAGCTCAAAGTTCACGTCCTCGATCGAGATAGCTTTCGCATTTCCCCTTGACAAGTCAATGGCTCGGTGATGATTGCGCCTCTCGTAGTGCTTCTAACCACTTTCGAACACGGCGCTGCTCTTTTGGGATTCCAAATTTCCATCATGTGCACGTTTAATTTGCTGACTGGACACGTCGTACGTTGGAGATCCCCTGCGAGGGGGACGTATTCGGTCGTTGAAGGTAGGTAGGGGGGGGGTCGTATTTGCCTTTGTGGAAAACGATCGATTGCTTCTCTCGGTTTTTCTTGTTTTACTGGCACCCTAACCCACCTGCTCTCCTGCTTGACGGCAGATTTTTGGGGGAAAACTGAAGAATTTCCAGGAAAAGCTCTGGAAAAGCTAGGAGGTTTGTCTTGGCTGGGGAGGGGAGGGGTCGTACCAGAGAAGGATGTTTCAAAAATGTCGTATTTTTTAAAAGTTATCCAGAACAGGTTGAACAGAGCATGTCGCAACGATGGTTGTTTAGCCTATCCAATCCGTCACCGCTGCCTATCCCTTATACAATTCCTTCAACCTTGGATTTCACACGAGTAAGAAGATTCACCGATCGCAGCCCATCGGGAAGGGTACAGTGAAGGTTTCTGCTTCGGGTACGATACAAATTAACTCATCACCAAGCCAAATACGACGCCTTCCGTGCTTGAAGACTCCGAAACAGTGAGGAGGCTTGTGGAATTGCTTTGCCTATTCCCCATTCCCAGGTTCGTTACGCTTTCTTGCTGTGGCATCTCCTGAGCTTTGTTTTTTTTCCATGCGCGTGCAGCACTCGGAATGATTCTGTTGAGAGAAATTGAATGATAAGATCCTCAGAAGTGAAGTCGACGTGCCAGTGATATACACTCTAGTTCGCTGCGGACGGTTGGGCGTGTCAGGCAGTATGAGCCGTTCTCTGCCTTCTTGTTGAAGCGCGCATGCGACAAAAAGTGGTAGAAAACGAGTAATACGAACGATATGATACAGTCATATCACTTGCTCGCTTTAACAACTGGTGGAGAACGGGTTTGGCACCGCGCCAAACTCATCCCGCCTGACACGCCCAACCGTCTGCAGCGAACTACACTATAAGATGATTCATCACGGAGTTCTGAATGGTG